CACGCAGACATGGAATTATGGGTGTAGACATATCAACGAGAACAAGACTAATCACTTAAAGTGGACACAATTAACTTTTCCCAGAGTTTTGATTACTTTTAACTCTTGCTTCCAAAAAACACAGAGAGCTGAAAAAGAAAACACAGTCTATTGTGGCTCCTTTGGAGCCCTAATAGGATTTTAATTAAGTAGCATGTTTCGTTTGCATTTCTTTTACCCCCTCTATAGTATACACTGCACATGTCTGCACATTCCTTCTATACTTTTAACTTTTAAAACATTAGCCATATTAATTTTTACATAAGTTGTAACTGTTTTTTTGTTCTTACAGAGTTTTATGTACCCTTACCAAAGTGACAGTCTGATTACACAGAGCCATTTTAAGGCTCAGTGTTTCTAACATTGCTTCTTTTTGTTTTGTGCACCTCACCCCTGCTGTTGCTTCAGAGGGGCACTGTCTTTATTCTTTTACTACAGCTTTCATCTGCTATTTTATTACAAAAACAAACAAACAAACAAACAAACAAGAATCCAGAATCTCTCCCTATTCTTCTGATTTTGACTGCCCTGCTACAGTCATGACTTGGTCTTTATTTGAAAACATTTACATTTTGTAAAGAATCAAGTTATCCCTTAAGGGTTAAATACCAAATCTCAAAGCCAGCCAACACTGATTACCTGTGTCTGGCAAAAGGTCTGTCAGTTTTGCAACTTTGAATTAAAGAGTCAAGTGGATTTTTAGTGGCATTATAAACAAAACAAAACCAATTTATCTTAAATCTACAAAACAGGAGTTTTACAAACCTCACATATTCCCACAGACAGACAGATACATACACATTTTCTTGTACTTAACATCCCTTTTATACTGCTTTGTTTTTACATAGCTGTACATAGATTACATTACCTTTATACATTTGGGGCAGTTAAGTTCCAATAGAACCCCCCCTATGTTCTTTTAGCAAATTTGACTCAATTGTCCATAGTCAAATGATTTTAATTAGATAGTCTCTTTACCTGGATTATTTAGAGATATTTTTTGGGAAAAGGGTCCATTTTTCCTTCAGAATGGCCGCAGAGAAACCAAGAATTCTTTTAACAAGGTCCTTTTAAACATTTTTACAAGGTTTAACTGCTTAATTCTCTCCAGCCTCTGTAGAGTTAACTTTTCACTCTCTTTCCTTAAATCACTTGTTTATTTCCCAAAATAACACCTTTATCAACTCAGATGTCACCATTTTAAGTATTGTTCCAGAGGTTCATGCTTGCACTTACTCCTGACACTATGCCCTTAGGGCTTCCAACCTATTTTTCAGTTTCTTTATCTGTTGCTTGCCTGCTTGTCTGGGCCCGATCCTGCTTTTTCCAATGAACCATTTTTGTGAGTGTTAATGTGGTCATTTCACAATTTTGAAAGAAATGTTTAAGGAAAGGGACAAGGAAGGGGAGTTGAGGAGCCCACCCTCCTTGCTGAATTGGTAGTGGAACACTAAAGAATCAGTTTCTGAGGCAGACAATGAAGGCGAACAGAACAAGGGGCTTTTTGTCCTTTTTACAATGAGAGGGAGTATGGAGGGGGTTGGGATCGATCCAGGGTTGTTGCAGGTTTTTTTCGGAGAATGGGGTAAAGGGGAGCGCTCTGTCTGGTGGTGGGAGAGGAGGCTTTTAATAAAGCTTTTAACTTATTATTTGAATATTTGAGAGAGGCGAGTTTTGATTTTGTCCACCTACGATTTGCCTCTTCCCACCACTGCATTAAACAATTAACCTCTCCTTTTCCAATTTAGTTTTAGATTGGCCAAGTTTGTATTTTAAGATGTCCACTCGGTCCTTTTTCCAAGATTTTAACAGTGGCCACTGAGTTTTGGGATCTCCCTGAGTTAGCCTGGACCATTTTTCCAGAAATTTACAGGAGTCCGGACCCTTCCTAAAACTGAGCCAGCGTTCCTTTAGGGAACTGTCCCAACTTAGACATCTGGTTACCAATGCAGGAGGACTTTACACATACCAATCACACAAGCAGAAAATTTGGGTTCCTCAGAGCGATGCCCGGTGCAGCACACAAAAGGAGCCCACAGGCTACTGCCTCAATCGCCCTTGGTTCACATGAAGGGTTTTACCCAAGGTGTGGTGTGGCTGCGATTGTGCAGATTTCACTCACTCAGACCACGGGGACAGGAACCCCTTGGTCGGCTGATCCCTGGATGGAGATGGCATCCAGACTCAAACACTCCACAGGAGGACGGATAGACACAGAGACAGGACAGTCCTC